GGGGGGGGGGGGGGGGGGGGGGGGGTGAGGCTGTCTGTGACTTGCTTTTGTTAATTATCCAGGATAGTCTGGAGAGAATTTGGACTCTCTTTTTTTTTCCCCTTGTTTTCGTTTACTATATTGGCTTCTCACAAGGCAACTTGGATCAGCCACCTCCATTTCTTCAGTTAGTCAATTGGGTTTGTGAGGTTTTTGTGCTTTCCCCAGTTGTCTTTGAATCTACTCCTTTCTTGATGACTGAAAGGTCTGAAGGTGACTACTTAGTTTATCCTCCTTCTCCTGATATTGCTGTTCATGCTGGTAGGTTTGCCTCTCAGTTATGTGATGGAATAGCTATGCCTTGTCCCTCACATTTGTAAGAACAGCATGCTTTGGCTTACCACCACCAAGAGGATGTATATTTAGCTTCCTAAAGACTTATCCTCTTTTGGACATATGGCATCTCAGACTGGATCCTGTGATCACTTTGAACAGATCACAATTTTCTCGGATATGTCTGACCCTCACTACTGTTCTGAGATATTTATCTTCCCTCCAAATTTTGTTGGAAACTTCTCAGTGTTCCCCACATAAATTTGATGATGAATTGGGTCCTTTATTAACTTCTCTCTTGGTAAGATTGTCAGCTTATGCTCTTTCTGTTCAATGTCACCAATGCATATCTCCACATTCCCTTAGCGAAATCATCTCGCCAATATCTACATTTTGTGCACAAGAAATCCATTCTCTTGCTGACTATATATATTGTCCATCTCAGTGTCTTTTTCAACAAGTTTTTAAGCCGGGCTCAGCCTACTCCCATCTGGCTTCAGGCTATGGAACGGGCAGTCAGGCTTTTACTCATGTCTCCTTCTCTTACTGCATGGATGGTTCTCTCTCTTTTGGGCATATGGGAATTCTTCAAATCTCTAATTCCTTTGTGATGTGCATACATGCAGTTCCTTCAGTGGTTGCTGCGCATACAATGGATTATGAACTGCGATCCACTGGATCTTCCAGACTCTTTACTCAGGAGCAAAATCATAGATCTTGAGTAGTGGTTGAATTGGACCTACACTACCATTGGTGTTCCTATACCACCCCCTTGTCTTGAGATTCATCTCTTCACAGATGCCTCACTTCAGGGATGGGGTACATATATCTACGGTCAGGAATTTCAGGGTCTATGGATGGATGACTAATCTTCCTTCCACATCAATATTTTAGAATTTCTTTCTCTCCAGTGGGCAATGGTTCAAGGCCTAGCTCTATGGAAGGGGAAAATTGTCATGATTCATTCCAACAATTCCACGGTGGTATTTTACATTTTCTGTCAAGGGAGCACGCATTCTCGGGATCTTTGTTTTCAAACTTTGGGTATTCTCTACTGGGCTCATTCCCATCATATCAGCCTCCTGGCTTGCCATGTTCCAGTGGTGGTGAATGTAATAGCAGATCACCTGTCTTGACCCAACAGAGTCCTCCTTACCAAATGGATGCACCATTGCGAGGTTTTCCGGTGGATTTGCTTTTAGTTCGGGACTCTGATGATCAATGCATTCACCATGCATTGGAACTCTCAACTACAGGCATTTTTGTCCCCGGAACCTCATCCTCAGGCTTTAGCGATAAATGCATTCAGTCAAGATTGGATGAGATTGCACCACTGTGCCTTCGCCCTGATTTGTCTGTTACCCAGAATTCTGACTATGGTTCAATCCACTCCTTGTTTAGTGCTGTTGGTAGCCCCAGATTGTCTGGCCCAACCATGGTTTCCTCTTGTACAGTATCTTCAAGAGTGTTCACTTCTGCAACTTCCTCTATGGCCATCTCTGTTGAGGCAACCTTGATCCAACATTCTACACCCAGACATTCCCAAGCTCAAACTTCATGTATGAAAATTATGCGGTCCTTCACATGGCATCAGTGTTTAACTTCTACACTTGCCTTGTATTTGTCTCAATCTATTCGTAGACCCACAACAGTCGTTTATCAACAGAAATGGCCCATTTATCGCCAGTGGTGTCTCATGAGGAAATTTATCCCACTTCACCCAAGTGTACCCACCATATCTCGTTTTTTGTCCTGGCTTTTTGACAAAAGTCTAGCTTCTTCTACTGTTGCTTTATCAACTACTTTTTGGTATTCTAAACACTGGAAAGTATTTGAGTCTGGCCTTCTCAAATTGTTTTAAGTTTATTGTCCCAAATGGCATTTTCAATTGCCTTAATTGGAAATTAAGGTAATATTACATTCTTTATCTCGACATACAATAAAGTGTTTAGCCTCGTGTACTATGTATCACCTTTCCCTTAAAGTTTTTTTTTTTTTTGTTGCTGCTGGCATGTGAACGTTGTAGGTTGAAGTTGTTTGCTCTACATGTGCACAGGACTCTTTATCACTCCAATTTTGTACTGCTATACCTTGATAGTCTTTTTTCCTAAGACTCTGGCAGCCAGGGAAGGAGATAAATTCTTCTCACCAATTCAATTGTCTGCTATTTCTCACCTCCACGACCACTCGGACCCTGATTGTTTATTATGTCCTATAAGGGCTATGAGGTGTTATGTGGCTCACACTATCCCCCTCTTGAGATGCTAGAAATCGATTCTTCATGTACTGGGATCCTTCAGTTTCCAGGAATTTATCCCCAATTATCTTGATGTGGTGGCTTTTCAAATTGATCCATATTACTTATCCTGGATTTTCTTTACAGGCAAGGAAACTTCTGTGAGTCACATCTCATCAGATTCATCACATATGTATGTCTTTAGCTGCCCATTTGAATTGCCTACTGAAGGACATCATGTGAGCTGGTATGTGGACTTCTACCAGTACTTTTCCCTCACATTGCTTACATGATCTGAGGGTTTTCACCTACCTTCTGTGGCCATTTTGACCACATATGCTAGATTATAAGGAGGGGTGAGTATTTTTTCTCCTCCTTTTGTCTCTCTACTTTCCAAGGTCCCTTACTTCTTTTTTTTCACTGGATCCCACTCTGTGGTGAGTGTGGCCCAGACAGGTGTGCTTTATCAATCCAATTCCACATTAGCAACCAATTTAACTACACTAACTACCAGTTGAACAGGCTCTGTAGAAGTGAGGTGTTCCATAAGATCATCTAGAAGGTCGTCAGATGGTATTACTATATTATGCTGGACCACCACTCATGGACTATCATGAGTAAAGCTAAAGGGGATCCTGCCCATCCCTGCCAATCATCAGAATGAATAAAGTGGGGTCAGTTTGCTTTTAAAACTTTAGGGAACTTGGTTCACCTATTGCACTGTTTCCAGAGCACTTTTCCTCAGTACTCTCCAATGTGCATCACCCCCCCAGATTCTACTAGTAGAACTAGGAAGTCTTTACCACACCTGATTCCCAGTTACTGGGGTGGTGGATAGAGGCTTTTTCTCCAGAGTGTTCGAGTGAATTCCTCCACTCTAGGAGAAGAGGGCAAAGTTGGGGGCCAAGACCCCTTAATTCCAACCCCGAGTAGCTGAACCTTGGCTATCTGGTTGGGGTTGGCCTATAGTGATGATTACTCATGTACAATTCCACCCAAAGAGCATACTGGTTCTGGATACAGGGTGGTTCCCCCACTTGTATACCACTCTTATCTTGGTACACCCATGATCTATGCAGAGGCTTTTTGCATGGGTAATACCCTCACCGGCCCCTGCACATTCTCAATGTGGGATTCTAGCTATAAGTGGCAGTGGAGGTAAGTATGTTTTGGAAGTTAACATTTTCCTAAATTGAAAATATATTTCTAATAATATTTACCTCCACTGACACTCTCCCACCCTTTTTTCAACTAAGAGCCAGTGTATGAGATTGGGATGGTGTCAGTCTCGAAAAAGTGATAAAATTATCTGAATGAGGTGCTTATATACAATATCAGGATAGAGGGTACAAGACATATATCACCACGGGCAATTGAGTGGGGTATAAAAGACTGGAGCAAGCGAGAAAAAATCAGACCAATGCTGAGATGGGCGAAGAAGAAACAATGGTGGTCGAGTAATAGCTATAAGTGTCAGCAGAGGTAAGTATTATTGGAAATACATTTTCAATTTAGAAAAATGTTAACTTTTTTGTAGGTTATTTTGATGTGGTCTGTAGAGTTGTCTGTTTTTCTGTGTTTCTTATAGTTTACTTTCATTTGGTCTGTAGATTTGTGTTTTTGTGCATTTCATAGTTTATTTTGATGTGGTCTGTAGATTTGTGTTTTTCTGCATTTCTTAGTTTATTTTCATGTGGTCTGTAGATTTGTGTTTTTCTGCATTTCTTAGTTTATTTTCATGTGGTCTGTAGATTTATGTTTTTCTGCATTTCTTAGTTTATTTTGATGGTGTCTGTAGATTTCATTGTTTTATTGTGTGTGTGACTTGGAAATTTCTTTAGTTTGTTCTGTTTTTTTTTTTCATTTGTTTATGTGGTATGTATATTTGATTGTTTTACTGTGTTTCTTTTAATTTCATTTCATGGGCTTTGTAGATTTATTTTGCTGTATTTCTTGTAGTTTATTTTGATAGAATGTTTAGATTTTATGTTTTTATTTTGCTTTGCTTCTTAAAGTTTAATATTTCATTGTTTGGCTTTGTTTCTTGATGTTTAATGTATAAAATCTGTTGTTTTGCTGTGTTTATTAATGTTTAATATGTAAAATTTATTGTTCACTGTTTCTTGATGATCAGTGTGTAAAGTTTATTATTCACTGGTTTCTTGATGTTTAATGTGTAAAATGTATTATTTTGCTGTGTTTCTGGATGTTTTAATGTATAAAATTTATTGTTCATTGGTTTTCTTGATGTTCAATGTGTAAAATGTATTGTTTTGTTGTGTTTCTTCATATTTAATGTGTAAAGTATATTGTTTTGCTGTGTTTCTTCATGTTTAGTGTGTAATATGTTTTGTTTTGCTATGGTTCTTGAAGCTTAATGTGTAATTTTTTCTGTTTCTTGATGTTTCATGTTCATTTCATTGTTTTGCTGTTTATCTTATAGATTTATTGTTTGTGGTGTGTAGATTTCATTATTTTACTGTGTACCTTGCAGTTTCTTTTTACTTGTTGTGATGATTTGTTTTGCTTTGTTTCTTATAGTTTTTTGTTGTTTGTTAATTCTACTTTTTGTGGGGTTTACTCTAGTTTCTTTTTATGTGATGTGTAGATTTGATTGCATTTATGTAGTTTATTTTTATACATTGTTTTAATTACATTAATTGTATTCTGTATAGTTTAAATGTTTCTATGTATTGTTACTCTTGATTCTCTGTTGAAGAAGGTGAATGTAGTGATTCAAGAAGGCTGAAAAAGTACTGTGTGTGTATTTATATATATGTTTGTGTTCCTTAGGAATTAGATTGGCAAAAATCAATCACTGAGCTTGCTGGTGACTTGGATAAGCAAACAAAAAAGATTGATCTAGATTCACTTAAAACTTACGTAGAAAAAGAGATAAAAGCTATACAAAGAAACCTTAGTAAACTTGAAGTATCAAGGAATTTGTCTGATGATGCTGCCGGAACAAAAAAGTAAGTTCATCAGAAACAATAATGTTATAACAACTGGGTACCAGTGTTAAAATTGACTTTGTAACTAAATAAATAAAAATTACTGAATATGTCTTACAGTTTCCTTACTGTTTAAATTTCTTAAATAATAAAAAAAATCTTGGTTTTGTTAAACTCTTGTTGTATAGTATCAGAAGTGAAGGATATTATAGACTTTACAGAATGTACGGTGTTCTTACAAAGTTGGATTTACTAGTTGAAAATAATTTACAGTTCTCATTCATGAATTAACTGAAACTTAAGCGTTGTGGGCAGTATTTTTTCATCATATTGTTAGACATGTACCAGTAATACAGAAGTTGAGTAGATTATATTAAATGATTTTAGAGCCTCACCACATCATTACAGTCCATGTCATCATGTCTGAATCTGATGACTTTGCATCTTGACATTAGCTCTGCAGTGTAGTTTCCTGTGTAAGTATTTCTGCTGTAAAGTACGTTTGCAGAGTTACAACTTGAGATTTGATTCCCTGCAGTGGACACAGCAGATAGCCCAATGTAGCTTTGCTCTAAAACAATCAAACAAACCTACTTGCTTGTTTTCTGTAATTCATCTAGTGTACAAGGATAATGGTTTCCCAGCACCTCTTTTTCAACATTCTGATTGCACATAAATTTATAAACACAGCATCTGGTGAATTTACTGGTATGTCTTTGTATGGAATAGCATGAATGCCTGTTTCATTCTCCGTCTGCATGAGGTGTGCAATAGTTGAGCAACTTGTGTATAAATGATTTGTATTCCTTTTTCCAGATGGAAATCCTTCTTGATTATGTTGCTTACTGTTGCCTGGGGCATGTGAATAGTGAATAACTTTTGCCACTGATCTGTGTGTTTGTGAATTCTTATCTGTTACAAGACAATGCACTTGACATAGCACAGTTGGAATAAAATTTTTTGCAGGTCTCTTTTTGAATAGTCCTTGTGTCTCATGTTGATCCACATTCCATTGTTTTCTGATGCCATTATATACAAGGGTTATCCTCATATTGGAAAAATCTAAATTTCTAATCTGAACACATCTGTATGACCTGAGCATATAAATATTTTGCATCGAAAAAGACTAATATATAGTGTTCAGGAAAGTAGTAAATTGTTGGTGGCATCACACAAAAAACAAGAAGTATTAAAATGTAGTTGTCATACATGTTGTTTCACCAAAGCTGTATATTAGCTATGGTTGTTACATGGCTTGCTGATTTTCATATTCAAAATTGTATTGATATAACATACTCAATATTCTGTATGTTATTCTGCATATCATGGTCTCTTTAAATTTCCTGCAAAGTAGTGATTTCATTTAATTATTTTGCTACAGTTTGTTTTTTGTAGTTTTGACAAGATAACTTACCTTTTTTTGTTTATATTTCTTCTTTTTTATTTTAATTTTTCACTGTTTATAATAAATTCTGAAGTTCATGTCACCACATCAGATTTTCTTCCACCTACTTACTTCCAGTACACTTACACAAGCTTCACGTCGGGGAACTAAACTGAGGAATTTTCAGCTATAATTCATCAGGAGATTGATCATTATATGAGTCGACCTTCTTCTTCTCCCACTATTGTTCAACTTCTTCATAAATCTGCCCAAACCTGTTCATGATGAGGAGGATTTTGACAGCCTTTTCCTCCATTTAAGTGTGCCGTGCCTTCCCAAGCCTCTCCTGTGGAACCTGCTATGCCTAACTCAGCCTTTTTAGATAATGATTTCTCAGGTTTGTTCCATTTTATCCATTTCCCCAATTTCTTATGACCCTGTTCCTTCCTTATTACATGACACTCCTTCCTCAGAGTATTTTGTTTTCCCTCCTTCTCCTGACATCAGGGTTCATGCTGAGCATCTTGTTTCTCAGTTGAGAGTGGGTGCAAGCATGCCTTGCCCTCCACATGCCTCAGATCATTATGCCTTGGCTTAACATCAGGCTGATCAACCTTTTCTCAACTTCCAGCAGTTGGAGTCACTTTTGCTTGTATGGTGGCTGACCCTGAAAATCCTATCTGTTTATCCCACGTACAGTTTCCCACATTGTCTTACCCTTACTTTTCTCCTACAGTATTTATCCACCATACACTTCCTTTCTGAGGCACTCCACCAATCTCCTGAGAGGTTTTCGTTACTTTCAAGTTGGCACAATTATCCTCTTCAGCTCCATCCATCCATTCACATAGGGTTTCTTTGCTGTTGGGATCTTATTGGGAGGGATACTGTCTTATCAAAGGTTTGTCTACAATCCACTTATTTTAGGGACTTATGGATGGCTCCTTTTCTCCATTGGTCTGTTTTTTGGAGATATTCCTGAGTCTTTGGAATCATACATGGAATCTGTGAGACATCATTTGACCCTTTCATCTTTGGTTGTTTGTTTGTCTCATTCTTAGTCCTTACACTCTCTGTTTCCTGTTTCCCTTCCAGTACCCTCCCATCCTTTACCTGTTCCTGCCATTAGGGGTTCAACTAGTGACTATCCAGTGGGGGTGCATTTGATCAATTTTGTTCCTCTATAGAGAGAATTCACTACCAATCCTTGGGTGATCCAGGTTTTGTCAGAAGGACTTTTCATCCATTTTCTTTCCACATCTTCTTTATCTCCTTTATTGATATCCTTCCTGTTACCTCAGGATCTTACTATCAGTCAGCATCTATCTTAGGCAGTGCTGACTCTTCTATTACAGAGAGCTATTGAACCTGGCCACCAACTTTCCCCAGACTTTTTGTGGTCCCCAAGAAAACTGAGGACTGGCATCCTGTGAACGATCTGTCCCACCTCAATCACTTTTTGAACCTTCCCTGTTTTACCATATAATCCTTTCTCACACTGCAGTGTGCTTTTTCTCCAGGACTGTGATTGACCAAGGTAGATGTCTCAAAAGCTTTTCTTCATATTCCTGTTTCTCATCAGTCCAGATGCTACCTTTGGTTTGTGTACCACAGGGTTGTGTATCAGTTTCATGCCTTGCCCTTCAGGCTTGCTTTGGTTCCTTATATCTTTTGTTGGGTGGTCAAAACCTTTTTCTGACTTCTGCATGCCCAGGAGTTGCATTTACACCACTACATGGATGATTAGCTTCTGTTAGCTCATTCCAAATTGGAATCTTCACAACACACTCATCTGTGTGTAACAGAAGCAGCTCAAGTGGGTTGCATTCTCAAGTTGGAGAAGTCTTTCCTATTAACTACCCAATATATTATCCACTTGGGTGACTTTTTCAACACCCACCTCAGTCAGGCCCAACTTTCTCCACTTCGACTCTGTTCAGTGGAGCTTCCAGTTCTCCATGTCCTTGCTGCTCCCTCTCTTTCTGCTTGCGAGATTCTATTGCTTTTGGTGACTTGGATTTCTATGAAAGCACTTATCCCCTTGGGTCAGGCACATATGCGGTCTCTTAAATGGACTCTGCTTGACCAATGGAATCTTGCTTGGGATCCCTTGGACTCTTTAATTGCCCTTCGTCCTTCCCTTTTAGACGATCTCCATTGGTGGTTGAACAAGGAAAACACTATGACAGGTGTAGCACTTCCACCATCTCATCTGAATTTGCATCTATTCACAGATGCTTCTCTACATTGTTGGAGGTGTCCAGACAATGGTCTTCAGATGAGAGAACTTACCATATCAACATCTTGAAGCTTCTAGAAATACAATGTGCTTTGGATCACTTTCTTCCTATTGTACAGAATTGACTAGTCAAGATCCATTCAAACAATTCTTCAGTGGTGGCTTATATCGATCACCAAAGGGACACTCATTCCCTTTGAGGTCGAACTTGGAACTCCTTTCTTTTTGGCCTCGTGGCAGATTGCCATTCTAAACCAAACAAAGTTTATGCCACAGAGTAGCTTCTTGATCCTTAGGTTTTCCAGTGGCTATGCAATCAGTGGGATATTCCTTATCTGGATGCTTTTACCACTTTCCTCAATACCAAGTTACCTCTTTTTGGTCTCCAGTTCCTCATCCTCAGGCTCTATCTGTGTATATCTCAGCCAGGATTGAACCAATTGGTACCTTTATGTTTACCCTCACATCCTACTTCTTCCCAGGGTGGTTTCGATCATCTATGCCACTCTGTGTCACGTCCTTCTGATTGTTCCTTACTGGTGGGTGCAACCTTGGTTTCTTTGTCTCCTTCAGCTCCAAACTATCATTCCATTACCTCATCTTCTTACTCCATTCCTACTATGTTAATGTCAGTTACCGGTCCTTCATTCCACCCTTCCTACACTCTGTCTTCACAGCTGGCATTTATCAGTTCCCTGGCAAGGAGATCCAAATTGTCTAGGTGTGTTGTTTCCTTTTTAGTACAGTCCATTCACCCTTCCTCTATTGAGGTTTATCAGTGTAAATGGAATGCCTTTCATCATTGGTTTTTGAGTCTACAAATAAATACACTCCCTCTCCATGTGGTGGATCCTGGAGGTTGTTGAGGTGCACAGTTTCTGTGCAGTTCTATCCAGAGGGTGAGGTTGCTTATATTTTCTAGATGCGATCCACTTCTGTGTTGTAGGACCTGGAGGTTGCAATTGCGCTCCAGCCTCTCTGTGGTCCTATTCAAAGGATGATGTTGCTTTGGAGTAGATCCATCAAATTGCAGTTCACCCCTTTGATTGGGATCCCCCATCCTACCATCACCTGGATGTCAGTTCCCAATGAGTGATTTTGGATTGAAGCTGGACCAATCAATATAAATCCTCACATGTGTGTTGGTTGTGTTTCCTCTTCCTCACTTACTTTGCCTCATGATCTCTACCTCTGTATGGTGGGCCCTAGATGTTGATGTTGCACCCAGCTTCTGTGAGGTGTTATCTGAAGGGTAATGTTGATTTGGGCAATGGTTCTTTTTCTGGTGCTCCACCTCAGGGAGTTTTTACTGCCTGATATTGATTTTGCACACTGGGATGCCAGTCTGATTGAGTTTGAGTTTGATGTGACCTGCCACATTGACACATCTCTTCCTACCATCACTTGGATGTTGGTTTATCAGATGTATGGTTGGTTGTAGATTTGTGCACATGTGCTCCTTTCCTAGATCTTTTTTTGCACAGTATATGCTTCCATTCTACTTAACTGGAAGGAAAGACGGTGTGGACCCTCCTCATACCATGGTTGGAGGTTCTATTCCCAATACTGCTTTGTTCTGGACTGGAGTTGTACAGCTGCGTATGGTCCGTCATGCTCTAGCCACTCTACACCATGGAGCTCATCCATTTTAGCTTTCCCTACATTTCTGTCTGTATATGGTTCTTCTACAGAATATTGAGATACCAGTATACAGTGGTTTGGATTCCAAACTCCTGTTTTTCTCTTCCTTTTTGGCTGTGCTTCTCCCAGTTTTTACCTATGCGACACCTCTTTCCACACTGGGTTTAGAGTATACCTGGTACAGAAGTTGTGCAGTGTCTAACGTGTGTTTATCTCCCAATAGGGATCGCACTTCAGGATTGTTCTTTGGATGCTTTTGAGGGATACTTTTTTCTATCCCTCACATTGCTTCCTCTCCCTATTCAATGTGGGATTCTAGCTATATGTGAGAGAAGGTAATGTACTATATTGAAAGTTATAATTTTCCTGTACTGAAAATATATTTCTGATAGGTACTTACCTCCTCTCACACTTTCCACCCTTCCTCCCCACTGAAAACCAGTGCTTCCTTTTTTCCCTAATCTTGAAGTGATAGTATGGTAGAATTGAATAGAAATAGTCACACGAGTCAGGAGTTTGTGTCGCATGAAGACTTACATGCAAGACACAGTTGAATCACATTGATTGTGGGGAATGTGGGAGTTCAAAACTTGTGGCATACAAAAAAATGTTTGCATATAGAGGGCAGCACTCTTAAGTCATGAAAATAATATAATTTCTCATTAGATCCACAGTTCTTATGGGTTAAGGTACTATTGTGTTGGTATCTAATGTATATTAATCTTAAGTCATGAAAATAATATAATTTCTCATTAGATCCACAGTTCTTATGGTTAAGGTACTATTGTGTTGGTATATAATGTATATTAATCTCAAGTCATGAAAATAATGTAATTTCTCATCAGATCCACAGTTCTTATGGTTAAGGTACTATTGTGTTGGTATCTAATGTATATTAATCTTAAGTTATGAAAATAATATAATTTCTCATTAGATCCGCAGTTCTTATGGTTAAGGTACTATTGTGTTGGTATCTAATGTATATTAATCTTAAGTTATGAAAATAATATAATTTCTCACTAGATCCGCAGTTCTTATGGTTAAGGTACTATTGTGTTGGTATCTAATGTAGATTAATCTCAAGTCATGAAAATAATGTAATTTCTCATCAGATCCACAGTTCTTATGGTTAAGGTACTATTGTGTTGGTATCTAATGTAGATTAATCTCAAGTCATGAAAATAATGTAATTTCTCATCAGATCCACAGTTCTTATGGTTAAGGTACTATTGTGTTGGTATATAATGTATATTAATCTCAAGTCATGAAAATAATGTAATTTCTCATTAGATTCACAGTTCTTATGGTTAAGGTACTATTGTGTTGGTATCTAATGTAGATTAATCTCAAGTCATGTAAATTATGTAATTTGTTATTAAATCCTTAATGCTTAAAATAATACAAAATAATTCTAATTGCAGACACTGAAATCTGTCAGTTCAGTCCACTTGTCTTAGGCCTAACAATAATTAAGTCTTTATTAAGTACAGTCTATATTGAATAGAGATAAGTTAACACTGTGACTTGTGTATGTTCTTTGCTTTAATTCATTAGTGTTAAAATTTACCATACTTAATGCAATCAGTAAATAAACTTATGTTATTCTTCAACCTACCATCAGACCTTCATAAAAACTTTAATAAGCCTTTAATTTGTTGTTGTTGTAAAAAATTTTTACTAAAGTATATTTACATCTGCCTTTTGTTTATGTTCATTGAAATGAAGTGCGCGTGCATGCACATTTGGATAGTATGGTGCGCTCACATTTTCTGATTAAAGTAATGTTGTGTTATTATATAATGTATAATAATCTTGAGTCATGGAAATAATGTCATTTTTAATTAGATGCTTACTACTTGATGATTAAAGTGCTGTTCTGTTGTTATATAATATACATTAATCTTGAGTCATGGAAATAATATAATTTTTTATTAGATGCTTACTACTTGATGATTAAAGTAATGTTGTGTTATTATATAATGTATAATAATCTTGAGTCATGGAAATAATGTAATTTTTTATTAGATGCTTACTACTTGATGATTAAAGTAATGTTGTGTTATTATATAATGTAAAGTAATCTTGAGTCATGGAAATAATGTCATTTTTAATTAGATGCTTACTACTTGATGATTAAAGTAATGTTGTGTTGTTATATAATATACATTAATCTTGAGTCATGGAAATAATGTAATTTTTGGGTTAGTGTAATTTTCATCTTGCTCTTCACCTAGGCGACTGCTGAAATGCATCTCATGTAGTAAACCACGTGCCTTATGTGAAAACAGGTGAAGTTTTTAGTTGTAATTAAATAACACCTTTTTATTGATACATGTTTTTGATATTGTCACCATAAATTGATATTTGTAAAGAGGATGATGCTGGTTTATAAGATGAAGCTTCTTTCTTGTAATCACTAGCTTGTGAGTGAAATGAAAACTACAAAACCATGTTAAATGTGTTATTGTAGTGGTCAAAGGTGGAAGATCTTGGAGTTCATAGGTCTTGTGATCTTTGTATATTTACTGTAAAAGTTGCTACATCTTGTGACTTCTATGTACTTACTGTAAGAGTTCACAGGTCTTGTGACACTTGTATATGTACTGAAATAGTTCACAGGTCTTGTGACACCTGTATATGTACTGAAATAGCTCACAGGTCTTGTGACACCTGTATATGTACTGTAAGAGTTTACAGGACTTGTGACCTCTGTGTATTTACTATAGTGTATCACAGGTCTTGTGGACTTTGGGTATTTACTGTAGGGTTTCACAGGCCTGATGTTTAAGTGAGATATAACCCATAATTTCAAACTTTTCAGAAAGTATGTCTATACCAAGAAATACAGCAATTGATGTATAGAACTTCATTAGAAATTGTTCAGAAAGTGTGTCTACACCAAGGAATACAGCAACTGATGTGTAAGCAAGGTATAGACCATCATTTGAAACTATTTAGAAAGTGTGTCTACACCAAGGAATACAGCAACTGATGTGTAAGATATAGACCATCATTTGAAACTATTCAGAAAGTGTGTCTACACCAAGGAATACAGCAACTGATGTTTAAGATATAGACCATTATTTGAAACTATTTAGAAAGTGTGTCTACACCAAGGAATACAGCAACTGATGTGTAAGATATAGACCATTATTTTAAACTATTCAGAAAGTGTGTCTACACCAAAGAATACAGCAACTGATGTGTAAGATATAGACCATCATTTGAAACTATTCAGAAAGTGTATCTACATCAAGGAATACAGAAACTGTCATGTAAGATATAGACCATCATTTTAAACTCTTCAGAAAGTGTGTCTACACCAAGGAATACAGCAACTGATGTGTAAGATATAGACCATTATTTGAAACTATTTAGAAAGTGTGTCTACACCAAGGAATACAGCAACTGATGTGTAAGATATAGACCATCATTTGAAATTCTTCAGAAAGTGTGTCTGCACCAAGGAATACAGCAACTGATGTGTAAGATATAGACCATCATTTGAAACTCTTCAGAAAGTGTGTCTGCACCAAGGAATACAGCAACTGTTGTGTAAGATATAGACCATCATATTAAACTTCTCAGAAAGTGTGTTTACACCAAGGAATACAGCAACTGATGTGTAAGATTATAGACCATTTCTTGAAACTCTTCAGAAAATTTATCTACACCAAGGAATACAGCAACTGATATAGACTGTCATTTGAAACTATTCAGAAGGTTCACATACATCAAGAAATAAAGGTTTTGTGTCATTAGCCATTTAAATGTTTAAATCAGTTATAACAACATATACAAGTACACAATAATTTAAAATTGTTGAAAGCACCATGCCTTGCTAATACTTTACATGATTTTATGGGTCTGTGACCCACCATTAATATCATCACCATCTGATGATAGTGGATCAGTGACCCACCGAATCATGTAGATTATTAGTAAGACCTGACACCTTCTACAATTTTAAATTATTGTGTGCTTTTAAACATTGTTTCAGGTGAGTTTTTAAGATATGGAACATGGTTGTACACAGTGGAATATCCTAAAAGATAATTAAATTATCTTTGAAATATTTGAAAATGTATAATGTTATGTATAACCTTTCAAAACTGTTTCCACTGTTAAGGTAGAGTTTAATAGTATATTTGTGTATATTTGACACTAAGTAGTGTTCTCATACAAGTGTAGTTTAAAGCTCTGTATAGCTTATTGCTATTGAAGATACTGAAAGGTGATGATGATGATGTATATTAATCTTAGTTAGTTATTTTCTTTGTTATCTTAACTTCTCATGTTATACAATTTGTTGACATTTGCTATTATATGTGAAATGCTTATAAATGTGTCTTTTGAAAGAGACATTTTTTCCTTTTTATAAAACATGATTTGAAAATTATTTTTGCATGTGTGGTATTATCTCAGTCTTATGTTTAACTGAGTTTATATTAGATCTATTATTTTATGGAATGATACTTAAAATAAGAGGAAACTTTTACAGCTAGAATAGTAATCATTATGGGACTTTTCTGTATTCTTAGTGGTTGGACTTTTGCCGGTGGTCTTCCATTCAACCAGTCATCTTGTCCATACCCTGTGTTTGGGACCAACAAGCATCAGAATCCACTGTAAGTTGAACTTTAATAAAGATTCCTGCAGTTAGTTTGATTGTTCTACACTTGATCTAATGCTATAAACTAATTTCTAGATGTTATTTTGATTGTTCTACTCTTTGTGTAATGCTATAAACCAATTTATATATGTTAGTTTGATTGTTCTACTTTTAGTGTAATGCCATAAACTAATTTCTAGATGTTATTTTGATTGTTCTACTCTTAGTGTACTGACATAAACTAATTTCTAGATGTTATTTTGATTGTTCTACTTTTAGTGTAATGCCATAAACTAATTTATAGATGTTATTTATGTATGTGAAATCATAATGAGACATAATATTTATGTATGTGGAATCATAATGAGACATTGATAGGTTGTTTAGGCAGAGTATTCATAATGAATCTAAGTTTCAAACGGACAGCAACTGCCTGTTGTAGAAAACCTACAATAGTAGAGGATGACATTTCGAAAGTCTTCCGCCTTTCGTCTTCAGGTGGAAGACTTTCGAAAT